AAAAATTTAGCCAGGCATCATTGTGGCAGGTGCCTGTAGCCCCTAGCTACCTAGGAGGCTGCGGCAGGAGGATCTCTTAAACCCAGAAAACTGAAGTTACTGTGAGCTAAGCTGATACCACAGTACTCTAGCCTAGGCAAAACAGTGAGACTATGTATCCAAAAAAAAAAAGCTAACTGTAAAACAGCGTCAAGAAGGTCTTCCAGAAGGCAGCACCGCTATCATAGGAGACTACAGCTTCATGGATGTTACTGTCCTTGAAGATTTTCCACTGGGACAAGATGCAGAAGTGGAAGACAGTGATATTGATAACCCTGACCTTGTGTAAGCCTAGGTTAATAGTATGTGTGTCGAATCACAGTTTTTCTCAAGATTAAAAATAAATACTTTTTTTTTTTTTTTTGCAGTTTTTGGCCAGGGCTGGGTTTGAACCTACCTCCTCCAGCATATGGGGTCAGCGCCCTACTCCTTTGAGCCACAGGTGCCACCCAATAAATACATATTTTTAAAAACAAAGAAAACCTTATAGAATAAGAATATTAAGAAAATATTTTTGTACAGCTGTATAATGTGTTTAAGCAAAGCACTATTACAAAAGAATCAAAAAGTTTTTAAAAATTTAAAAGCTAGGCGGCACCTGTAGCTCAGTGGGTAGGGCGCTAGCCCCATACGCCAAGGGTGGCAGGTTCAAACCCAGCCCCGGCCAAACTGCAACAAAAAAATAGCTGGGCATTGTGGTGGGCACCTGTAGACCTAGCTACTCAGGAGGCTGAGGCAAGAGAATCGCCTAGGCCCAGGAGTTGGAGGTTGCTTTGAGCAGTGTGACACCACGGCACTCTACCAAGGGCCATAAAGTGAGACTTTGTCTCTACAAAAAAAAAAAAAATTTAAAAGCTCAGCGCCTGTGGCTCAAGTGGCTAAGGCACCAGCCATGTACACCTAAGGTGGATGGTTCGAATCCAGCCTGGGCTCACCAAACAACAATGACGGCTGCAACCAAAAAATAGCTGGGCGTTGTGGCAGGCACCTATGGTCCCAGCTACTTGGGAGGCTGAGGCAGGAGACTCACTTGAGCCTAAGAGTTGGAGGTTGCTGTGAGCTTTGATGCCACAGCACTCTACCCAGGGGGACAGTTTGAGACTCTTTCTAAAAAAAAAAAAAAAAAAAGCTATGGGCAGCCCCTGTAGTACAATAGGTAGGGCACCAGCCACATACACCGAGGCTGGGGGTTTCAAACCCAGCCCGGGCCAGCTAAACAACAATAACTGCGACAAAAAAATTAGCCAAGCACTGTGGCAGGTGCCTGCAGTCCCAGCTACTTGGGAGGCTGAGGTAAGACAATTGCTTAAGCCTAAGAGTTTAAGGTTGCTGTGAGCTGTGATGCCTCAGCACTCTACCAAAGAAGACAAAGCAAGACTCTATCTCAAAAAAAAAATTTTAAATGCTAGACTCAGGCTTGATGCCCATAGCTCAGTGATTAGGGCACCAGTCACATGCACTAGGGCTGGTGGGTTCGAACCCAGCCCCAGCCTGCTACACAAATAAACAAACAAACTAAAAAAATAGCCAGGCATTGTGGTGGGCTCCTATAGTCCCAGCTACAAAGGAGGCCAAGGCAAAAGAGTTGCTTGAGCCCAAGAATTTGAGGTTGCTATAAACTATGATGCCAAGAGCAACAAAGTAAGACTCTGTCTCCAAAAAAAAAAAAACTTAACAAATTTAAAAAGAGGTTACAGTAAGTTATTATTGAAGAAAAATTATTTTCATAAATTCAGTGTTTATAAAGTCTACACTAGTGTATAGTAATGTCCCAGGCCTTCACATTCACTCATCACTCACTCCGTGACTTACCCAGAGCAGCTTTCAGTCCTACACACTTTGTCATAAGGACCCTATTCAAGTGTACCATTTTTCATTCTTTATACTGTATTTTCATTCTTTACACTGTACCTTTTCTTTTTTCTTTTTTGGCCAGGGCTGGGTTTGAACACACCACCTCTGGCATATGGGGCTGGCACCCTACCCTTTTGAGCCATAGGTGCCACCCCCACTTTACCTTTTCTATGCTTAGTTATGCTTAGATACACGATACTTACCACTGTGTTACAAACCTACAGTATGCTTCCAGTAACATGCTTGGTTTGTAACCTAGGGGAAATATTCTGTACTATGGTGTATAAAAAACTGTATCATCTAGGTTTAAATTGTGTGAATACAGTCAATGATGTTTACATGATGACAAATTTGCCTAATGATGTAGTTCTCTGAATGTATACCTTTCATCAAGTGACACATGACTGTATGAAAAAGTCCAATCTTTCAAAACAGATATACTAAGTCACTGGGTCCTAATCCTGACTAATCATTACACTCAAAGGAGGCTTTTTTTTTTTTTGAGACAGAGTCTCACTGTGTCGCCCTCGGTAGAATGCCATGGCATCACAGCTCACGGCAACCTCAAATTCTTGGGCTTAAGCAATTCTCTTGCCTCAGCCTCCCAAGTAGCTGGGATTACAGGCACCCGCCAGAACGCCCAGCTATTTTTCTGTTGCAGTTGTCACTGCTACTCAGCTGGCCTGGGCTGGGTTTGAACCTGCCAGCCTCGGTGTTTGTGGCTGGCGATATAACCACTGTGCTATGGGCACCGAGCCTCAACAGGGGCTCTTAAAAAAATTCCCAGGTACCCCTGCCCCCACCAAGAGATTGTGACTCAGTATATCCAGAGTAAAACCTACAAATTTCTTCTTTTTAAAAAGTTCATAAGTGTTCTAATAAGCTGGGTTTGTGAACCACTACCTTAAGGGATACCTACTTTATTAGAAGTCATAACACAGGATACCTTTAAATAACTATATCCTTTGCTCATGCATTTAATATAGGACTTGGTTTGTTAAAATTAATTTAAAGATCATTTACCAATAATGTCTTCTATGCTAAACAAGAAAAATAACAACTGTCCACTAAAAAACCCACTTACCTCATATTTTCTGTAGTTTACCAGCAAAGCCAAGAGGACAACAGCATCATACCCATGCTCCCTACGACTTGGGGGATGGGAAAGTATCTGTAACAAACACCAAAAATGCATGAGAGTTTCTCATTCTCATTGTTTCCCTTACTCCCAGGAACACAGAGAAAATCTGAAGATGTGATTTACCCAAAAGAGAAAGAGATAATAAGAGAACTGACATACCTGTAGAATTGCTTCGAATATGCTATTAATCATTACATACTCCAAGATAGTGTTCTGGCTGATATTATCTGTCACCTGAATGCAATAAAAGGCTTTTAAAGTCTGTACTGAGGCACCCTAATAGTTCACGTAATCTCCTCCTTTAGCAAATAAGAAAACTAGTAACATTAACATTCTGCTAGATAGGCTCGGCGCCTATAGCTCAACCGGCTAAGGCGCCAGCCACGTACACCTAAGGTGGCGGGTTCGAATCCCCAGCCCAGACCCGCCAAACAACAATGACGGCTGCAACCCAAAACTAGCCGGGCGTTGTGGCGGGCGCCTGTGGTCCCAGCTACTTGGGAGGCGGAGGCAGGAGACTCGCTTGAGCCCAGGAGTTGGAGGTTGCTGTGAACTGTAATGCCATGGCACTCTACCCAGGGGGATAGCTTGAGGCTTTGTCTCAAAAAAAAAAAAAACATTCTGCTAGATACTTAGACCTTTCACAAACACCTACAAAGTCATCAAACGTTATGAGGTTAGGAAATCAGCAAACTGAAAACTTCCTAAATCCATGAATTTCTCATTGCTTCTCTCATACCTTCACACAAGCATTTGCTTAACAGCTTCTTGGGGGCTGGGCACAATGGCTCATACCTGTAATCCCAGCACTTGGGAGGCCAAGACAGGTGGATTTCCTGAGCTCACAGGTATGAGATCCCATCTCAAAAAAATAGGCAGGCGTAGTCTGAGGTTAAAGAAAAAAAGAAGCCAGGCATTGTGGCGGGCGCCTCTAGTCCCAGCTACTCAGGAGGCTGAGGCAAGAAAATGGCTTAAGCCCAAGTGTTTGAGGTTGCTATGTTGCCCTCGGCACTCTACCGAGGATGACAAAGTGAGACTCTGTCTCAAAAAACAAACAACAAAAAAAAAACGAAACAAACAAAAAACAGTTTCTTGGGTTTTATTCCTCAAATGTGTAAGAAGTGGTTTATGAAACCAAAAGTATTTAAGATATGGCAGGAAAAGGGAACCACATGAAATAAATGATCAACACTCTATTGTCCTCCCACTAGAAAGTACAGGCCAGCCTCCAGTTACAAAAGCAAAGCCAGAACAAATAAAAATACTCAGAATCACAAGAACTATTTCCAAATAAGACCTGATGAGGACAAGTGCAATGATCCAGAAGGTAGTAGTTCTCCCAGAGTGATACTTCTAAAGTCATAAATATTACATAGTCTGCCAACTAAAAATATCAGCAGTTGCTCCAAAGAGCAACTTCTAGGAAGCAAAAGCCCATACAACTAACTGGCTATACATCCAGACACAGGGAATAATGTAATACCCCAGTAGAGACTGTTTTTCTTTTTTTTTTTCTAACTTTGGGCTTGAGTATTCAAATAAGCTTATTCCTGCTATTAATTAATACCCCACTATTAATAAAAACATAGATGGGTCACTTACAGTCACTAAGCAAAGGAGAAGTTTTAGACATAAACTCTTCAGACTCTCAGAACCTTCTGCACAAAGCAATGAATCCAAACTCTCCATCAAGTTCTGAGAAAGAGAACCATTAAACATTAACCCATATCAAATAATATCTATTTCCTATCTTTACCAAACTATGGGTTATGTTATACAGGGTATTATGAATAACATATAATGAAGCAATCATATAATTCCCTAGTCCTAGGCTTTGTTAGATCAGACAATGAAAAGGAAGATTACAAAGTTCACCAATTTGGGGGAAAATACTTTAAAGAACAATTGCACAAAATAAAGAATTCACTATTTGGCTCAGCCCCTATAGCTCAGAGGCTAGGGCACCAACCACGAACACAGGAGCTGGCCAGGTTCAAATCCAGCCGGCCTGCCAAACAACGACAACTACAACCAAAAAAAAAATAGCCAGGCGTTGTAGCAGGCACCTGCAGTCCCAGCTACTTGGGAAGCTGAGGCAAGAGAATTGCTTAAGTCCAAGAGTTGGAGGTAGCTGTGAGCTATGACGCCACGGAATTCTACCCAGGGCAACACCTTGAGACTCTGTCTCAACAACAAAAAGAAGGATTCACTGTTCTACCAAATAAATATTTGCTGCAACCTATCATCCCCATATAAACCTTTAGATTAAAATGAGGAAAATAGGCTGGGCGCTCGTAGTTCAGTTGTTAGGGCGCCAGCCACATACACCAAGACTGGTGGGTTCAAACCTGACCTAGGCCTGCTAAACAACAATAACAACAATAGCCGGGCATTATGGCAGGTACCTGTAGTCCCCCTCCCTTAACCTGGGAGGGTAAGGCAAGAGAACTGCTTAAGCCCAAGAGTTTGAAGTTGCTGTGAGCTATGATGCCACGGCACTCTACCAAAGGCAACAGTGTGAGACTCTGTCTCAAAAAAAAAAAAAAAAAGAAGAAAAGAAAAGAATGAGGAAAATAAGGCCAGGTATGGCAGCTCATGCCTGTAAGCCTAGCACTCTGGGAGGCCAAGGTGGGAGGACTGCTTGAGCTCACGAGTTCAAAACCAGCCTGAGCAAGAGTAAGACCCTTTTCTACAAAAAATAGAAAAATTAGCTGAGCATTGTGGCAGGCACCTGTAGTCCCATCTACATTGGAGGCTGAGGCAAGAGGATCCCTTGAACCCAGGAGTTTGAGGTTACCTGAGCAATGATGATGCCACTCTAGCCTGGGGCAACAGAGTTGAGTCCATCTCAAAAAAAAAAAAAAAGGAACAAAGCAAATAAAAAAAGGGAAACCTATTGCTTAGATAACCGCATGTAAAATTCAATATTTGATAAAGAAAGCATATCACTTGATGCTGGCAAACTGAAAAAAAGACAAACTGCCTATCACTAACCAAATGCACCAGCTAGCTTATGTCCATCATGGTCAACACCACTCAGCAACATAAGTGGAATTTATTACTTGCACTAAAAACTAGCTAATATGGGCAGTGCCTGTGGCTCAGTGAGTAGGGCGCCAGCCCCATATGCCGAGGGTGGTGGGTGGCGGGTTTGAACCTGGCCCCAGCCAAACTGCAAAAAAAAAAAAAAGAACTAGCTAATTAGACCCAAACTAATCAAAAGATGAAACCTTTAAATACTAAAATAGAAGGAAGAAGAAAAGAAATATTCTACATTAAATGAAGGAGGAGAATGGACAGAGAATAAGGGTTTAGCATGCTGGAAGGCCATGGGGAAAGTTCAAAATAAGCTATTTTAGTTCAATTCAATAAATATACATATGCATAAGCATTCACTCTATGCTAAATATTGTGCTTTCTTTTTTCTTTTCCTTTTTTCCAAAAACCAGTACCATAATATAAATATTGCACCTTCAAAAAATATAAGAAACAATAAGACCATGACCCTTGCTTGAGGTGCTTTCAATCTAATAAGAGAGAAAAAAAAGCAACCAGTTCTAAGTCAATGGTTACAATGACAAAAATATACATGAAGGAAGGGAATTACTTTAAAAATCATCTACTTTGTGACCCCCTTAGGCATGAGTTATAGAGGGTGTCCATAAAGTTCGTGGGCAATTTAAAGTATTTGTAAATTTTAAATTGCACACATACTTTAAAGATATCCTGGCCAGCTCCTGTGGCTCAGTGCAGGTAGGGTGTCAGCCCCATATACCAAGGGTGGCAGGTTCAAATTTGGCCCAGGCCAAACTGCAACAAAAAAATAGCCGGGTGTGGTAGCAGGTACTGTAGTCCCAGCTACTCGGGAGGCTGAGGCAAGAGAATCACCTAAGCCTAAGAGTTTCAGGCTGCTGTGAACTATGATGCCATAGCACTCTACTAAGGGAGACAAAGTGAGACTTTGTCTCTAAAAAAATAAATAAATAAATAAATAAAAAGATACCCTGTGTTTTGAAAAATCAGTAGGAATTGGGGGTGGCTGGAGAAAAAAATCAGTAGGATTAATTAAAACTTGGGGAGGTCCAGGCAAGGTGGCTCATGCCTATAATCCTAGCACTCTGGGAGGCTGAGGAAGGTGGATGGCTTGAGCACAAGAGTTTGAGACCAGCATGAGCAAAAGTGAGACCCCATCTCTCTAAATCAGTGGTTCTCAACCTTCCTAATGGCCACGGCCCTTTAATATAGTTCCTGTGGGTCGCAACCCACAGGTTGAGAACCACTGGTCTAAATAAATAAATAAATAAATAAAACTTGGGGAGGAAACATTAGCATGTTCAAAGACATGAGGAATGAAATGGCCCTGGTGTGGGGCTGAGGAAATAATGGGAGTATAAAGAATGAAGTACTGTATGGCTCAGCGCCCATAGCACAGTGGTTATGGTGCCAGCCACATACACCAAAGCTAGCAGGTTTGAATGTGGCCCAGGCCTGCTAAACAACGACAACAGCAACAAAAAATAGCCAGGCGTTGGGCAGTACCTGTGGCTCAAAGGAGTAGGGTGCCGGCCCCATATGCCAGAGGTACTGCGTTCAAACCCAGCCCTGGCCAAAAACTGCAAAAAAAACAAAAAAAAAAAAAAAGAAACCCGTAAGAGATGGTGTGTGTGTGGGTGTGCGCGCGTATGTTTGGGTATGTTTGGGGGCCAGGGGGTAGTGGCAAATACAAGAAAGGAAGTGACGGTGCTGGGAGAGAGCTTATTTTAAAAGTTTCCTGGCTGATAGATTTGTAGCCCTGGGTA